TTTTTTTTGAGATAGAGTCTTGCTCTTTCGCCCAGGCTGGAGTGCAGTGGTGCCATCTTGGCTCACTGCAACCTCCGCCTTCTGGGTTCAAGTGATTCTCCTGCCTCAGCCTCCTGAGTAGCTGGGATTACAGGGGCCTACCACCATGCCAGCTAATTTCTGTATTTTTAGTAGAGACAGGGTTTTGCCATGTTAGCCAGGCTGGTTTGGAACTCTCGACCTCAAGTAATCCGCCTGCCTCAGCCTCCCAAAGTGCTGGGATTACAGGCGTGAGCCACCGTACCCGGCTGAGGCCGTATTTCTGAATCAGACCTTGCTGGTTTGGGCAGACATGACAAGAGCACGAACACTGGCCAAATTTTCATGGGTGGCTCCAGTAGAGCTGCTGGTGACCTATCTTGCTTTCTGTTGTACGTACGGAAGAAAAAGGCATAAACAGGTCATTCTAACCTAAGTGTCGTGATTAACAGTTGATACTCACTTCAGTCTTAGTCTGTCCTTTTTTTTTTAAATCATGTTTTCTTCCCTTGCACCTTTTAAATTTCATAAATATAGTTTATTTAACCATAATCCAATATACCACAGCCAGGTGGCTAAATGTCCTGTTATTGCTCACATGCTACCGATTTCTGTTCACCTACTTGAGTACTGTTCTGAGAAAAAATTAGACTCCATGCAAGTTCTAGAAAAATCTATCCAAGTTCTAGATAAATGAAATGTCAGGGCAAAAACTTGACTTATTGTTGGGTGCAATGGCATGCATTTGCAGTCCCAGCTACTCAGGAGGCTGAGGCAGGAGAATTGCTTGAACCCGTGAGGGGGAGGTTGCAGTGAGCCAAGATCGCACCGCTGCACTCCAGATTGGTGACAGAGCGAGACTCCATCTCAAAAAAAAAGAAAGAAATTAAATAGTAAATATTTTCATTTACATATAGGCTTTAAAGGAACACATTACTTGGAACAAGATTTAAAGAAGTACAAATATCTAGGCACAAATGAATTTCTGGTTTAACTTAAACTTTTATAAATAACCATTTATATAAACTTTTAATATATTGATATATAACATACATGTATAAGATAGACAACAAATGACAAAGCCCAAAAGGATTTTATATATACATAAATATAAACATGTATGTGTTTTATACATATTTTATGGGTTATATATACACATAAAAGTTAAATATAAATGTTTTACATATTAAATACTGTATATTATGTGTGTATATATATTTACACACGTATATATACACACACAGTCACGTGTCACTTAACAGTGGGGATATACTCTGAGAAATGCATTACTGGGCGACTTGGTCATTGTGTGAACACTATAGAGTGTACTTACACAGACCTAGTATACTCTGTGCTATACCTGACTACAGGCCTAGGCTACATGGGATAGCCTATTGCTCCTAGGCTATAAGCCTGTACAGCATGTTGCTGTACAGAATAATGTAGGCAACTATCACACTATGGTAAATATTTGTGTATCTGAACATATCTAAACATACACAAGGTACAGTAAAA